CTTCGATCGGATTTGAACCCGCCAACTTGGGTACAACAGTCCAGTACGCTAACCGTTACACCATCGCCGCCGCAATATCAATAATGTAGGAAGAATGACAATTTTGCCAGCTACTTATATAGGAAGTCCACGCCACATGCATGAATATGCTCAGGATGCTATGTCGTATGTTAGTCATTATGGCCCAGATTTATTTGTTACATTTACATGTAACCCAAAATGGTCCGAAATCGAGAGGGAATTACTACATAGCCACACACCAGTTGGTAGAAATGACATAACTGCCAGCGTTTTTAATCAAAAATTAAAATCCCTCATGAATTTCTTAATAAAGCATTGTGTGTATGCCCGAGTACGTTGTTGGATGTACTCTGTAGAATGGCAAAAGCGTGGATTGCCACATGCGCACATTTTAGTCTGGTTAGTGGACCAAATAAGGCCAGATGAGATTGACTCCATAATTTCAGCTAATGTTCCAGATGGAATAGTTGACCCAAAATTGCATGCTTTAGTTGCCAAACACGTGATACATGGACCTTGCGGACTTTTCAACTATAATTCACCCTGTGTGGTCGACGGCAAGTGTTCCAAGCGATATCCAAGAGACCTGCTTGCTGAAACCATAACGGGAAATGATGGATACCTATTGTATCGTCGGCGATCAGTTGCCGATCAATGGGCGATCAGCAGTTGTGAAGGAAAGAGGACAAAATGTTGATGTAGTCAATCGTTGAATTGTGCCATACCCGCCAATATTGTCCAAAGCTTTTGAGACTCACATCAATGTGGAATATTGTATCTCTGTGAAGTCGATAAAGTACATATGTAAAAATGTAAACAAAGGTAGTGATATGGCTGTCTCCGGTGTGACCAATGCAAATGATGAAATATCACAGTACCAGATGCGTCGCTAAGTAACAACGAAGCAATTTGGCGTATCTTTTCATTTGCGATCCATGAGACACCCTATAGTAGTCCATTTGGCAGTCCATTTAGAAAATGGTCAACGAGTTTATTTTAATGAATCTAACGCGGTAGACAGGGCGGCACATCCACCGTAGACAACTTTAACAAGTTTCTTCACAGTCTGTCAAACTGATGAATTTGCTCGCACTTTGCTGTATGCTGACATGCCACGCTATTACACATGGAACGCTTCATCGAAATCGTTTCAGGGTCTAAAACAAGGAACACAAGTTAAAGGAAATCCAAATGTATATGCTTCAGACGCTCTGGGTCGCATCTACACAGTGCATCCAAATAACGACGAATGTTATTATTGGCGGTTGTTGTTGGTGAATGTTCGTGGTCCGACATCGTTTAAACAACTGAGAACAGTTAATGGACAGCTGTGTGAGGCATGTCAACTATTACATTTACTTGAGAACGATTCGCACTGGGATGATACGCTCAAGGATTCCGTAATATCTTCGTCGCCAAATCAAATTCGTACATTGTTTGCGATTATCATATCCACATGTTTACCTTCGAATCCAAAAGATTTGTGGGTTAAGGATAGAGATGACATGTGTGAGGAAGTTTTGCATCGTGTGCGCCGTCAAACTTTGAATCCTACGCTACAAATGACTGAAGAAATTTACAATGAGACATTGATCATGATAGAAGATATGTGTTTATTGATGGCAAATAAAGTATTGTCGTGTTTGGGAATGACAGCACTCAATCGTCATATACACGATGCATTACACCACGAGTTGCACAGAGAACAACAGTACGACATTGAAGCATTGGCCGAAACAGTTCGTTCAAATGTTCCACAATTAAATCAACAACAAAGAATTACGTACGACACTTCGATAGAAGCTGTGAACAGTGGATGTGGTGGAATTTATTTCCTTGATGCTCCCGGAGGAACCGGAAAAACATTTTAAATTTCATTGCTTTTGGCGAGGATCTGATCGCGAAATGATGTTGCTCTAGCGTTGGCTTCATCTGGAATAGCTGCGACTCTGCTAGAAGGCGGGCGAACTGCACATTCTGCCTCTTGAAATTACCATTAAACATGCAAATCACCGAAACACCAATTTGCAACATCGCCAAAAATAGCGCAATGGCCAAGATCCTACAGGTAAGCAAATTGATTGTTTGGGATGAATGCACAATGGCCCATAAAAGGTCACTGGAGGCACTGGACAGAACGTTGAAAGATCTTCGTGACAACCAAAATATTTTTGGTGGGGCCATGATTCTGTTGTCAAGTGATTTTCGCCAGACTCTTCCAGTTATTCCCTGATCACCTGTTGCTGATGAACTAAATGCATGCTTAAAATCATCGAATTTGTGGCAGTACGTAAAGACACTCCACTTAACAGCTAACATGCGAGTATTTGTGCAACAAGACGAAACTGCAAATGTGTTTGCAAAGCAGTAGTTAGACATTGGAAATAATAAAGTTGCAGTGGACACCTCGACCGGATTCATCACATTACCCCCAGATTTTTGTCACATCACAGACTCAAAAGAGGAGCTTATTCAGCGTGTTTTCCCACATTTAGAGCTAACGTTCAATAACCATAATTGGCTGGGTGAACGGGCAATATTGGCGGCGAAAAATAAAGATGTGGAGAATCTCAATGCGACCATTCAGAATTTTCTTCCAGGACAGTTGGTTTCCTTGAAATCAGTCGACACCTTTATGAACCAGGATGACGTAGTCAACTATTCCACGGAGTTTTTAAATTCACTGGAATTGCCTGGATTACCACCTCACAATTTGCAGTTAAAAGTAGGATCAGTTGTCATCATGTTGCGTAACATTAATCAACCTCGACTATGCAATGGAACAAGACTGGCTGTGAAAAAGCTGATGAATAACGTCATTGAGACAACAAGCATAAAAGGAAAATACAAAGGATAGGATGTCTTGATCCCGCGGATACCGATGATTCCAACGGACTTACCATTCGATTTAAACGCTTACAATTTCCAGTACGTCTGGTCTTTGCGATGACCATAAATAAATCGCAAGGACAGCCGTTAGAAGATTGTGGAATCAACGTAGAGTTTCTCTGTTTCGCGCATGGACAATTATACGCCGCGTGTTCGCGCGTCGGAAAACCGTCTTCTTTGTTTATGTACGCACCACAAAACAAAACAAAAAATATAGTTAATGAGAAAGCTTTAAATTGATTAACAGACTGTATCATAACAGTGCGTGTCTGTAAATATAAAATTTAAACCTTATAAATAGCCAGTATTTCAGAAAAACTCTGTTTTATAACTAAGCAATATGATGTGTCGAAAATAATAATAAAACTTCATGCTTTATTCAAAAAATGCTTTTTTATTAAATATGGATTCGATTTGTTTGTTTTAAAATCATTTTATACAAAAGTTTAAGTCTTTTATTTATCGTTGAGGCAGTACGAAGTCTGCCGGGTCAGCTAGTTCTATATAATTATTAATTTTAGATACAATATAAAATCTCAATTACTTGTTTATTTCATGATTCATGACTCAATTGTTTTTATCATTTTCTTCTTATCAGGTTTTGTTAGCAACAGGTTAGAGAGTAGCACTTCATCTTTTTCCAGAAAATCGACACCTACATCACTGTGATGGGAGTCCACATTTATCTCACATTACTGAATTTCAGATGTGCTTGTGCTTCTTGAAGAGTCACATTTCAGCCTGGTGCACATTCCAGATACACAATTACAAACATTGCGGTCATTATTAAATAGAGACAAAGTTATCTCTTTTAATAAAATTATACTTTTCGTTTTATAAAAATGTATCATGTTACAAATTTTTCTAATAAAAAAACATTAAAGTTCTTCAATTGAGACTTCATTTTTTAAAAGTATGGCATTATTACCAAAATACTAGAAACTTTCCATTTGCCTTATTATAGATAGCAGAAGGACAGTACGCCGATTGGACTTAATTCTATCATTCCATTTTCATTCATAACACATGAAGAAAGCTGGAAATCTTATTGGAAATCTAGCTTAAGAAACCGTTTGAAGGAAAACAATCTCAATGTTCTCCAAAATAAATTCTGACTATGTCTATTACCCAATTTGATGGAACAATACAACATGATGAGACATACCAGAATGTCACATGAGTGTAATACAACGTAATGGATGCATCTAGAATGTTAAAATCCAAGGAACACGCATAGCACAGCAACGAACTATAAACATTTAGGTACCAAGCTGGATGCTAGGCGAGAATTGTATTGTCAAGATATGGCACAACCTAGTGTCATCAACATAGAAATGACAATCGGAAAATATAGCTTTAACAAAAATAAGTGATTTCTCACTCTCACAGAAGCATTCAAGCAGTTCACATGGTATGGACATTATGAAATTGTAATTTTGCAATAATAGATTTATGGTGGGAAAATGTTTGTTTGGTTATTCCATAACAGTGTACACTAAGCAATATTGTTTATTTGAGTTTTAAGATGGTAAATTTTTGCATTGTTTTAATAATAGTTACATTTGTTCTTGTGTATGTATTTTACAATTAAAAATTTTTAGACTTCTTTTTTATGGGTTTATATGAGGTTAGTCTCATAGTGAGAATTATAAATTATTAATTTTTAGGAAACAGAAGCCGCAAATAGAGGTTTCACCAAACCCTAGTGAAAGAAAGTCACGATGCGATAATGTTAGAGCAGATTTTCCAAATAGCTGGCTGTATAATTAGCAACAGTCAAGTGACATTCAAAGTTTACGCAGACATAAATTACACCACACAAGAAACCAGGACACCCCTTATGGAGATCATATCAAGCGAGAAGATAATTCGTAAGGTGATGAACTTAATCAAAGCCGTACAGTTGAATAATGTATTTTCAATGAATAATCTATTTTTTATTAATACTCAAGCAAAGAACAGAAGAGAAATTAAAACCATAGACATGGTTCTAAATACTTGAACTTTCTTGTATTGATAATTGTAATTTCAATAAAGTAATCATGTAATAAATAACTTGTAATTCTAACTTACTTTCACTGATAAACTACCTGTTGAATTCCCTCTCCCCTGCATAATTAGGTATATCTAAAATATTATTTTAAATTTTCACACTCTTATTTTCTAACTGCAAATGTTTACATTTGTTGTGGTATTTATCAATTACCTTAATATGTTTTTATTGTTATTAATATTTTTATAATAATAATAATAATAATAATAATAATAATAATAATAATAAAAATAATAATAATAATAATAATAATAATAATAATAATAATAATAATAATAATAATAATAATGGTACTAATAATAATAATAATAATAATCCAACTATTAAAAATATTTTATATTTTAAAATAAATTTTGACAACTCTCTCTAACCATCTATTCCAATTATTTTGTAGTAGAAGTTTCACTGAAATACCTCAACATGCACATAAATGAAATCACTCACATTACATCACTTACACATTTCACTTTTACTATAAAGATATGATTTTTTGTATAAAAATTCACTAAATTTCACTGAGAAACTAAAGTGATTTATATTAAGTATTTTGTCTTTCAGTGTGGTATAAATATGAAATAACTTTTGTTGGCTTAGTTTAAATCATAACATGTAACCAAATAGGGTTATGTTAAGCTGATAAACTTCAAATAACAAACAAACAAAAAATGAATTTGAAATAAATGGCAAGGAATGAATAATCACAAGCTGTATATTATATTATTTTCCAATTGAGTGTATAAACAGCATTTCAAAAAAATGAAAATACTGACAATATTAAATATTTAATATTTAGCACTTGTAAGTGCTGAAGTGCATAAGCAAAAATTTGTACATTATGGCTTCAGGCTAAATTCTGAAATATAACAATGATAAAGGCAACATTTAACACTCTTAATAACGATAATAACATTTTTCAAATAGGAATATACAAACTACTATATCTTTGTATTTAACAGATACTGCAAAATAATTCCAGGAACTTAAAAACTAGACATAAATAACAATGTTTTAAACATAAATCAAGTTCTGAATGATTTCAAACACTCCAAAACAAATTTGCATTTGCAAAATTTGCATTTGCATAAATTTGCAAAATTTGCTTTGTGAAGTACTAGTGCTAGAGTAAAACCTTTTGAGCTTTGAACTGCAACAATAAAATTATGCAAAAACATCCTCAATTAAATTGAAATATTTGAAAATGTAAAACTATCCACTGAATATTTTGATTGCTTTATAAGGACATACCTTAAACCACCTTTGGCCAGGGCATCTAGATTAGGGGTGTCAGCTGTTTCAGCCCAGTTTGCTCCCATATCTCCCCAGCCCATGTCATCTGCTAGAATTATGATGATATTTGGATGATTCTTTAAACTGTATGTTGATCTTCCTTTTTTTGATGATACTTCACTTTCCCAATCATACTGATTAACAATTGTTTGTGATGATACAGTTTTCACCAAAACACAACACACAAAATTCCAAGTCCACAACCTAATCCCAGCCATTTTCAGCTAAAATATGGTATTGTACTTGTAGAAAATTCAAAACGAAATTTTATAAATATTATTCAAAACACAGCTATTAAAACACAATAATGTGCAATGGAATAAAAATATTACATCCACACCACACCAGAATACTACAAACTTTGTACCATGAACAATACTATTTAATATACTTCATATTCTGTAATAAAGTAATTCACTCCTGCACTTGCTCTAAAGCATTATTAGTATAAAGTCAATGTGCTTGTGAAATTGCTTTAGAGAGTATGGACACACATGTAGAACAAGGAGATTCACACTGCAAAGTGAGTTCTTTGGAAACCCTGGCCTGAAATACAGAATGCAAAGTACTGTCAGTAAAGACTTGTTACAAGACAGGAAACCCTAATCAAAATCAACAATTCTACATATTGTCAAGGACACGAACCAGCTATTTGACAGCTGGCTCCACACTAACCAGCAGCTGACCACACTGACTCATACAAAGAGTAAATATTCTAAGATCTCCTTTCCATGGTTAATAAACCATACCACATAATAATTATGAAAAAAAATTAGACTGAATAAAATTAAAATAATCTTGAATCTAATTGTTTTCTTCAAAGAAGGCTTTATAAAAAAAATAGATAATATGAAAGTAATATATCTTGTCATAATTTTTCTTCAATTTACCTTCAGCAACAATTATACCTTTCTCATCATTCTTATATTATCTTTGAAACATTTACAACTATAATTTGTCCAATTAAAAAACCAAAACTCATCATAAAAAGAAGAAATAAAATAAAAAGAAGGGGGAAAAAGAAAGAAAAAAAGGAAAAAGGAAAAGAAAAAAAAAACCTTAAAATACAATTCACACTTAGGTCACATAATTGAACTCTAGACACAATCATTCATTTTAATGGAAAACAATAAGAATTTTGAATACTAATGGTATCTTTGAAATATTACTTAATTGTTTTTCCCAGAACACAGTAAATAAATCAAATTTTACATTTCCTGATTCTAAAATCAATTGAATAACAAACAATGCAGTTTCTAAACATTTTTCTCTACATAAACATTCCAGTTGCAGAAATTAAAAATACTGTTTCTTTGTTACTCTTATGATACTCTTTAAGAATTTTTCATAACAATTACCAAACAAATTATGTCAACATCTGGTTTCACACAAAATGTCAGGGTGACCAACTGAAGGATTTCTCTGTAAGATATAAAAATATATTTTCATTAGTGGAAGTAATTTCTACATATTTTCTAGTCCCTAACACAACAGTGATGAAGCAAACATGCTAAAAGCAATTGTATTAATACTTAGGCCCATGTACTCTCCAGGTACTCCCCATGTACCTGGGATTAGTATAAAATATTAATGAATTTGTGGATAGAATACATTAATAGAAAAATTCTATTATCCTAGAGAAAAATTTCAATTCTTTAATCTACATGTTTGAAATTTTACTTTCTGCGTTTCATACAATATTATAGGAGGCAACAGTAGTAGACAACTTCTCATCAATGCGTACGGAATGAACTAAAATTTTAAAACCCAGTTAATGAAAAATTGATTATTTATAGTAATTAACAAAACATGTATAAGAGGGGTACAATTGCATGCATTGTATGATCAAGATAACAAGCAACAATAGGAGCAAGTTTTCTTATTTATCATGAGTGCAATTATATCCCTTTATCCAAGTGTAAGGTTAAATATTTTTTTTGTTTCCATTAAAGAATAATTTTCATTTCAAGAAATTCATTCATATCTTTACCATCTGAAGTTTGTATTTGATGATGTCATATTGGTTCTGAATATGACCTATTTTAGTGGGCCTTGCAATGCATATTTACGATCACCTTAGTATTTTAGAGAATATTGTGAGAAATAAGAAATGTTTGAAAGTGGAAAATATTTAACATATTCCCATTGAAATATTAGAAGAAGCTAAAAACATTACTTCGTATGAAAAGTAAGGGCCTGAATGAGAAAACAACATGCATTAATGTTGGAAAGGAGAAAGACAATTCAGTTCTGACTTGGATATTTTCCTGGTGTACTTTGCAGAGTGGGTAAATACAACTGAAGATTACATTTTTTATAGTTTTAATATGTAAATGTTTTACATGTAGTACATTTATTCATGTTAAATATTTTATGTTGTTCCATTAGTCAGCTAGTGTACAACATGCTTATGATCATACTTGTTTATGTTGAAGACGTGGTGTGTAAAGGAGAATATAGGCATTTTAAATGATAAATAATTTACTTGATTTTGTAAAAGAATAAAGGAGTTTTGCCAAAACAATTGCTCTCTCTGGGCCATCACATTCAAATAGGTGAAATAAACATATCTGTGCAATATAAAGTGACTTCTGTGTTAGGGCAATAAGATGCCGAATATGATTAGGATAACAGTTTCTAAATTAACATATTGTACTAAAAATATTAACAGGATTGTCTAAGATGTAATCAATATAATAAGTAATAATTATTTGATTATACTTTTGTTTCATTTGTATGAACAAATGATTACACGTGCATTTTTGTTCATGTTTTATTGCTGGAAATACCTTGGTGATGTCTGGTATGATAGAAAGGTGGGATTCAGGGGGGGGGGGGGGGAATCTTAGAAAAAAATTTAAAAAATTATATTTAGACATTTCATTTGACAGATATTCGAATATAGATAACTAACAATATACATTAATAAATTTTTGAACTTAATTCATTATTATAAAATGCATGGGATAATGTTCAGCGTTATTGCGAATATCCCTTATTAATCCTCTTTCAATTATATTTTGCTTTTAAATGTTATTTACTTAGAAATTAAATAGTTTCTTGGCTAATGTCATGAGTCATACACTTAAATTTTTACTCTCAAAAAGAGAGTATTTCTCACTTATTATAGATAGAGGTAAAGATATAACTCAGAAACAAAAATGACTATTTTTCAAATATTGCCATTTTTAAAATTTATTTTTATATATTTATGTTAAACTCTTACTCATCTTTCAACTATTTATAGTTAAATGACGGGAAGGGACTTTGGAACTCAAGAAAAAGTGTGCAGATAATTTTTCCCCCCTACGTCACATACAGTTTTTATTGTTTTTTTGCCTGAATAAATCTAATCTAATCTAAATCTAATCGAACATTCTAGCAGGAACAATTTTTACAACTAGTTTAATAACTCCTTTTGCCATCATAGCTCTGTGGTTCAATTGTAAAGATGAGCTGATGTAAAATAGAAATGTTTGAGTTTTCGCAGTTCTAAAAGCTTTGAAAGGTAAGTGTTTGTCTTTTAATTACAGTTTGAGTTCCTTAGACCGAATCTAATTTTTAACAAATTAAGTTATAATATTTTTTAAACATTGTTTTTATGCCTACCATCTGTAATTTTGAACGTATTAATGAGTGACAACCTTAATTCGCAGAAACGTAAAATGGCGACGGTTGTAAAATGAGCCCTGAACTATGCAGCGCATATGAGCCCCAATCTTTAACAGGCTTGTATAACATACACTAATACTTGTGTTTGTACTATTTTTGTTTTAGATGCCACGAAAGATTCTAAACCCAAGACAAAAAGGAACATAACACAAAGATGTTACAGAATGACTCAGACCTTCTTGTACTAGTTAGTTTCCTAATTTCTTTGGTCGAGGCTATCTTTTCTGTCATGCCCCATCCTCTTGCCAACTGCCAGAATGATTTCCAGAGCTTCAACTCCGAACGACAAGGGTTTATGCAGTTTGGATAAAATCATAAGCATAGTTTAGTCACTAGTGTTGTGCACAGACACCAAACTGACGGACATTTTGAAAAAAAAACTTATGTTGTATCAGAGGTTACCAACAATTCATTAAAATCTCAAAATCGATTTTCTGCAGCATTATACAACATACTCTTTACTATGTATATTACTCTGAATATACGTACATATAGGAGAAAATAACTAGTGGTGCTACAGAATGGCACAGACTTTCTAGACCAGTTAGTTTTCTAAATGCATTGGTTTGAAGAAACTTACATTCTTGTCCCATCCTCTTGCCAGCTACCATCTATAGTTGCCTAAAGTACATTTTTTAAACAGTTTTTCAATTTTTTGGTTTCCTAACAGTAAAATTGAAACATTACTTTAAGAATATTAAAAACCTTGTCATATAAGGAAACTTTGTTGAAAAATTGGAGCCGATTGAAGGCGATTAAGCATTACTTAAATTGCAAAATTTAAAGCACATTTCACAGATATCTTTTGAGTTTTTGAAAAGCTCCAAACTCTTTGTATGGAAATCGCTAAATAAACATGACATTAAGTTGACTTTGGTATGTTCTTTTCTTTTAAAAAAATTACACAAATGTAATTTTTTTTTATATCTCTAACGCAGCACACTCCAGCAATTTATAAACACTATTGCATTTCTGGGTTAAGATGTTTTAAATGACTTCCAAAGAAGTTTTCAAAAACTCAAAAATTTTCTGTGAAAAAAGCTTCAAATTTTGCATTTACAGTAATGCTTAAATGCCATTTTCTTAAAAACAGGTCCAAATTTTTCTATGAAAATTGCCACATAGGTGAAAGTTTTATTGTTTTTTAATATTCTTAAAGTCATATTTCAGTTCTACTTGTAAGAAACTGAAATATTGACAAAAGTTTTTAAAAATGTGTAGCAAGAATATGAATAGCTAGCCCAGACCAAAGAAAATAGAAAACTAATACGAGAAAGTCTGTGGCATTCTGTAACCGCTAGTTTTTCAAATGACTTGTTTTGAATTATTCGTTTTTTCATACTTTCTGAACAATTAATATAGTTCACATTTTTTTATAAAGTTTAGACAAATAATGAAGATGAAGTTTAAATTTGTTTTTAAAAAAGCATTTTATTCATTTTTTGTCAAAATAAAAGTGGGGGATCATATTATCACCTTCTCCTCTATAAATAAAACTATAAATACTTTCAATCCAGCCAAAAACGGAAGATTACATTTTTATTAAAAATTTTTTGAAGTAAATTGTAAAATATGTATCCTACAGTTATGTATAAACATTTGTGACCATAACAAATTATAAACATTTTCAATACTTCAATATGTGATTCACTGAGAAAAATGCATCGTTGAATTTAAGAGTTTAGACCGCTCAAATAACGATAAGGTCCATCACCTTTGTGTTCAACTAATCTAATTAATAACATTCAAAAATAATTAAATAAAAATTGAAAAAAAATATATAATTGTATCACAAATAACTTTAAGCATTAATATAAAGAAATATTTTTGTGTTTAAAATAGCGCCCAAATTTGCTCCCCCCCC